GAGCATCCTGATCTGGTTAAAGCTGTCCCTGCTCACTGCAGGGGGGGTGGGCCAGATGGCCTCTAAAGGTCCCTTCCAACCCAAAGCATTCTATGATTCTATGAGTCCAGCAAAGGCATAGAGGCCATTACTACAACAGACACCTTTTAAAACACTCCCTCTTGCAAAAATTGAGGACTTTTTTTTTTTTTCCTCCTTAGCTTTTAGGAATTTTCTCATTAGTCTGGGTACTACTTGTCTGGGAAGTTCACAGGAACATCCGTCAGAACAACAGGTGTTATATTTCTGTAAGTAAATATTTATAAATGTAAATGAATAGTTTCTTTGGAGATGGGATCGGCTTCCCAAGACGGATGTTTCCTGCACTCCTGATACTGCAGACCATTACAGTCCCCCAGAAGGGAGCTTTGTGGTGACAAAGATCTGTCAAATGGATCATCAAATATCAGGGTGCAGGTGTTACTTTTTAAAATCACAACTCTTAAGATTCAGTGAGTGTAACAGGAGTTCTGGTTTGCATTTGGGCAAAGTCATATCCCTGAAGCAGCCGTAGAGATCACAATCCCTGAATTTCAGTTCTTTCTTTTGTGTCAGTCCAAGGGAAAACTTCTGCATCAGTAACAGCAACGAGGATTTATTTTGCTCAAGTTCTACTTTAGTATCAATTTTAAGGATGCTGGTTATAAAAAAATGGGCCGGTTGCTTATTAAATAGTCCAGATACTGTTGCTTGAATATTTTGCCTCTTCTCCCTACCTGACTATAGATTTTTGACGCCTAATTAATCAGTAACAGACTACAAATGGCATTAAAGGAGTTTGTTTGTCTTTTATATCTCACATACAACTTCCTGTGATCTTAAAGCAGATGCCTATCACGACAGTGCCTACTTTTAACTTGCTCAGAGAAAGGCAAACTCTGAGGTTTAGCTATTTCAACCTCAGGAAAAGCTGGAGGTTCACCACATTTATTAAAACTACCAAGTTGTATTCAGCGCAATTTACAGTGCACCATTTTGCACTGGAGCTGTGGCAGCTGCTAACTCCTCTAGGGCTTCCTTTGCACTTTGAAATGTACCTCTAAGCAAACAATTTGGACAAGTTTGTCTTTGCCCTGGCTTTGCTTTTGCCCGACAACCCCGCTCCTGCCTGGCACCAGCTGTAACTTCAGTCTATTCCTTTCTTTTGCTAGCAAGAGGCACCACAACGTTGTTTTAGTAACCTTCGTCCTAAACTCTTCCCTAAACTCTGCAATTCTGCTCTCTCCCCCCCCCCCCCCCCAAAAAAAAAAGCTACTGGTTTGTGTTCTGTTTTCTATGAACTGTGAAGTTTCTGGAACAAACACTGTATGATTTAAGAAAAATCCCAACAATATAAAGATGAACAAAAACCTAAGGACAGAGGTAACTATAATTCCTTTTGCTCATGATCAACTGTTAAGACAAATTAAACTGCTTTACTATGATGTGCAATGTTTAGCGATTGTTTTATTAATGCAGAAATACCTGCTTAACTTTATACCCATTCTGATTTAAAGTGCAACAATTAAATCTGATACTTCTGGTACATCCATATTTTGCAAGTGTTGTTCCTAGAAGACACGTTGTTCAGATTATGCCTTGCATTTGTAAAATCTGTCATTTTTTAGTACTGTTTTGCTTTATTAACTAAAATAAACTGTACAAAAAGCTGTAGAGTTACATTAGCTTTGAACAATGTAGGATACATGTTCTCTGCCAAACTTTAGTGTGCAAACATTTTACATTTCTTAAAGTGACAAAATTAAGCCCACCTTGAAGTCAGAGTTCATTACTACATTACAAAACAGGAGACTAGATATGGCAAAAGAAATTCCCCACTGAAATCAACACCATTGTATAATTTTATTTCTAATTCTTAAAAAAATATAAATGAATTTAGAAGAGAATCACAGTATAAGGGCCCTAACATATTAGACCATTACAAGGTACATAAAAATAGAAGACACAGATTTCTTTGAAACTTTAATCCTTTGATTAAGCAGCAAGCATATCACTCTCCAGGCAAACACTGCTTAAAACAAACCCTACCCCCCAAAACAGGACGTGCAAACTGTATGCACATATTCTGCAAAGCACACAATAAAGACATTTTGCTATGTACATACTTTAGTACTACAAATGCTAGGAATTCCCTACTGTGTGCTACAGTGTATGCAAATTAAGAAATACTATCTATCTCTGACCCTCCCTCCCCCCTTCAAATACAGCACCTTTGCCCAGTTATAGAATATTTAAACAAGATTAAACGGAATTACAATGTACTGAACAGTTTTATAGCAGTTGGTGGTGGCCAACTGTACTGCAACACCCAACATTCTGCATACTGAAGTCTATCGACAAGAGACAAGACAAAAATTAGCAAAGGTACAATACACACACCTGGGAGACTCAATGCTAAAAAAAAAAAAAGAAAAAAAAAAGGGAGAAAAAAGACATTCTTAAGATTTCTCTTATCGCTGTTAACAGTTAAACTGAGATACCTAGGATGTCAAAATGTACCAGGTTGGTCTCGTATCAGTTTTAAAGACTGGAGAGCAGCCAGATTTGTGTGTAGCTGGTGAGGGGACACTTATGACTCCCAGAACACACGTTTCAGTGACCATGAATTCCTCGGTGCTTGTATTACAATGCTGCTTTTCTTAGATGAGAGGTCATCTGATGCTCATGTAGTGGCTAAGCATCCACTCTGATACAAAAGAAAAATTGTAAAAAGGATGTTTTGTATGAGACCTCATGTCCTGGTTTCAGCTGGGATAGAATTAATTTTCTTCCTAGGAGCTGGCATAGTGGTGTGTTTTGGATTTAGTATGATGATAACACACTGACGTTTTAGTTTTATTCTAGTAAACTAGTGTTTATACTAGTCAAGGACTTTTTAGCTGTGCCAGGTGCACAAGAAGCTGGGAGGGGACACAGCCAGGATAGTTGATCCAAACTGACCAAAGGGCTATTCCATACCATATGACATCATGCTCAGTGTATAAGTGGGGGGAGTTGGCCGGGGGGCAGCAATCACTACTCAGGGACTGGCTGGGCATCAGTCTGCACGTGGTGAGTGATTGCATTGTGCATCACTTGCTTTGTCTATTATTATTATTATTATTATTATTATTATTATTATTATTATTATTATTATTATTATTATTATTATTATTATTATTATTATTATTATTATTATTATTTTCCCTTCCTTTTCTGTCCTATTAAACTATCTATTTCAACCCATGAATTTTACTTTTTTTTCAGATTCTCTCCCTCATCCCACTGGGGAGGGGGAAAGTGAGCAAATGGCTGCCTGGTGTTTAGCTGCCTGCCGGGTTAAACCACACCACCTCAGCACACCAGTGAGAGATTTTTCCTTTCTGAACAGCTTTCAAGTTTGGCCTGAAAATATTTCTTAAATGAAGAGCCAAACCATAAAGGTCAACACCTTAACTGCAAGTCAGGCCACAACTATCAAACTTTAATACTAGATTTATAAATTAAATAGGATCTGATGCTGTAAGAACTTCCCTTTGCACAGAAAAAAGACCGTAGCCAGCTGCTAAACTGATCATAGGACCATGCAATTAATCTGTGAAAAAGCCTATGGAGAGCACATTCCATTTTCAAATGGTCTCATTTTAGTCAAGGGCAAATCTAGTTAATAACACAATGGATTTAAAAGGATTTTCAAACGCCATTTCAGCTATAAGCAAAAATATTTTTCTACAATAGTATGGTAGCCAACATGAATGTTATTACGTAGTCAAGAATGCAGTATTTTTCAATAGTTTGATTCAGATCACGCAGTTTCAAACATGGCTACTCAAATTTGCAGCCTGATTTACTTAGAGGGTAGAGGCATCTACTTTTTATTAAAAAAAAAAAAAATCAAAACCTAAACCCCACCGCCCCCCCCAACCCCTGCTGGGCAAAATCAAGGTTTCAGACATGAACAGTTTAATGAATGCAGTGGAAAGCAAGCCTTTCAATCTCCTAAAATTTGGAAGCAGTAATTAATACCCAAATGCAGATTTACTTAGGAAAACAAAACAAACACCCCCCCACTCCCAACAGCCTCAACCCAGCTAATCAACTGCCAGAAATAGCAGAAATCGGAGAGAATCTTTTAGCAGTAAGACTGGGCCAGCAGCAGGTAACTCCATCGCCACAATATTCTACCACCATCAGCCTCTGTACTTCCCTCATGAATTCTTAGGCAAGGTATCAATGATCTAACATACACAAACTGCAGACAGCCATTCTCAGAGGAATTAAATTCTACTGTACTTAAATTAGAAGAATTAGTGGAATAACAAATTAAATTAATGGTTCTTGCTATATGGTTCCTCTCCTGTCATCCCCCTGGGTGGTGGAAGTTGTTGCCTCTCTCTCCAGCCCAGCCCACAAGAGATAGTGCAGCAGAAAACTGGACTCCTGTTTTCAGTTAACTTCCATGAGTAGAACACGCATGAGATTTACTAAGTTTGGTACAAGAGCTCATTGAGTCTTCAGAATACTCTTTCAGAGGAGTATTTAATAAGACAGTACCATTTTAAACAAGAAAAAGTGTTCTGGGAAAAACATAAAGAGAAGAAACACCTAGATTTTACAAGTGCATGAAATGCTTCTACTGTTATCTAAACAGGGCCAAAAATTCTGAACCGAAGGCCATCATTTTTTTTGCACTAAAAAGTAAAAAAAAAAAAAAATTCACACACACACACAAAAACCCAACGCTACATTTAAGTCTCTTACAACATTATCTATTCCTAGATTTGCCAGACTACCTTCCTGTAGTTAGATGCTTGACTACAAAGAACTGTAATAAAATAAATAGAGTAAAAATCAGTTAAACAAAATCTTGGTGTGTTGAACATTTATTCATTTAAGAAGTTAGCTTCCTTCAACAGTTATTCATATAGAGGAGGGCTGTATTGTAGGCATTGTTCTGCTGTACAAGTCTTCGACATAAAAATATTTTTATACAGGTGGTCATTCACGTGGTTCCGTTTCTAGTTATTAGCTTGCTCCTCTGTAAAACTGGTCTGATACCTGTGAAGGCTTGCTCTTTTCTCCCCTTCATTATTTGGGAAAAAAAAAAAAAGTACATTGATACAATTTTTCAAATGTAGGAGTTAGCATAATTCTGCTTTATTTCTTCAGTGCAGAGTGGACTGGGATTCTGTCTGAATTCCAATAAGCGAGGGTGGCTGCTGGCCGCTAACCGTGGTTAACACTGGCCTTGGGTTTAGACGAGGAGGCATGGAATTAGCTGGGCGGATAAGTGGTGGGGGAGGCTGATTTAGAGTCGGCCTTGGCTGAATAAATCGCGCCTGCTGTTGAAGCGGCGGAGGCTGACGATGGAGAGCAGGAGCAGCAGGAAGCGCTGGACGAAGTAACGGGGGCGGCTGATTTAAAGTTGCCATGGGAGCGGTAGGTGCTGGAGCAGATGCCTGTGCTGGAGGTGAAGGGCCTAAACACTGAGTGGCCGGAGTGCTTTGTGCCTGCACAAAGGACAAAGACAAGACCGCGTGAACAGCCATCCCAGCCAGACCGCGATGCAGTTGGGCTGCCACTGTCCACTACACAGGAAACAGCATTTAAAAAACAAAACCAAAAAACTGAGAAGTTACTGAAAAGAAATCACCAACCAAAACATTATAGACAGAAGAACTAAAAAATATTTATGAAGCAAGAGTCTTCTTTCTAGAACAAGAACTGTATTTTAACAATAAAACAGTAACGTGATCGTCACTATGAAAGGTGCAGTCCTGCTCCCAGCTGGTTAACGACATTGGCTGAAGTTCTATGCAAGCTCATCATCATTCTTTAGAATGCGGTTTGCCACTCCACACCAGTTAACCTTACATTATATCACTAAATAAAATGCTGTTCCTCAACCCATGCTTACTTATTTCTGGTACACAAAACACACCTCATCTTCTTCATCAGTGCTCTTTCCTGATGGCACATTAGAAGTATTTTTTGTGTCCTCCCCTAAAGCAGAAGCATCACCATTAGAAGCCAGGGTTCCTTGTTCCGCTTCCCATTCCTGCAATACCTCCTCTAAGTTAAACCGACGCCTGTAGTTTACAAAGAAGTTCTTCACTTGGCCAACAGTCTTGTTGCCAATTACATCTGCAATAGCTTGAAAATCTTTACCATATTTTCGGACACCTGGAAGGCAAAGTAAATAACATAGCTGTGAAGAATCAGTCAGACACAGCTACGTGTGATGTATTTATAGAGAGAACCTATGGGACCTGCAAACCAAGGACTCACTAATTAGGAGGACTTCTCAATTAGGAGAAGGCCTCAATTTCCATTAAAACAAAGTAATTTTTAATTGCACAGCTATCAACATACAAATCAAGAACTTTATTAAAAGGTTATTACCCACTCTTCTTAAAGATCCTGGCTTACTCACCAAGCCTCCCAGCCTAAAACCACAGAGATCTGGCCTCTGACGAATAAAGTAAATCCTTCGATGTGCTTGCAGTAAGGGCAGAAGCCCAAGACAAGTTCAAGATGGGAGAGGGAGGGTGACCAAGCATATGTATATAGCTGTAAACAGGATATAACACTGGAAATGTCAAGTGGCAAATGTTGACAGCTTCTACAGGTTCCCTCCATGCCAGCTGCACACAGATGTTTCTTTGCCTGCAGTAGCTACTGGACCGAGCACAGGGCAGAACAGGGGGCACAGTTCCTTAAGTCACGATATACTGCTCATTCCTCCACTTGTGACATGCTCTACTAAGGCTACAAAGAGCAACTGGCAAGCATTCACCTGACAGTCTTTTTAAAGCTTTCATTCACCATTTGAGCTGGGTAGGAGAATCTGGGGTTTTGGGACAACCTTGGGGAATGTAAGTAAATATAAGCTATTGGTGTCTGTTTATAAGACAGCCCAGCACAAGCCTCCAGGATCGAATCCTCCAGCAAGAAGCAGCATGACAGAAGATCTTTGCATCATTCCTTTCATTAATTTTCATACTGACATCAGTAGGTCACTTTTGTTTACAAGCACTTCACAAGAAAATGCTGCTTGTCCTTTCCAAAAAATCCCAACATGTGCTTTTTAAATTTCTAAAACTACATTTGCATATAACACACACAAAAAACCCCCCACCCTTGAGCACAGCATTCCATAGTTTTTAACCTGAAATATAATCTAATGTTTATTGATTTTCTCTCAGTTGTATTTAGGGTATGTGTCTAGTTGCTCCTCTTTCCTACTTAAGAAAAAAAATAATCCTCAAACTCTCCAGCATCCTAGAACACAGCTTTTTTTTTTTTTTTTTTTTTTATCTGTACAAAGTAGATTTTTAATCACAAGTGTCCAAAAATTTGGAAACTAGAAGAAATAAAACAGAGTGTTATTCCAGACTCTGTAAACAAAAGACTCATTTTTTGCTCTCAGCTATGCATGAGTGAATTATAATTTGACTCCTTCTGTGAAGCTCCTGATAACTAAACTCATTTGGAACATATTACGGTGCTTAGAGGACAGGCACTCTGTCTCATTACAGGAAGAGAAATTTATGTCTGATTTCATGCCTCACTTCAGAAAGTGAAGCAAAGGATTCAAAAAGTGAGAGTTGTTTCAAATCTGAAGCTATGTTCCTTTTCAACTTAATTGTGAAGAGTATGACCTTCAGCTTGTTCTGCTCTTTTCTACTTTCTTCGTTAATAGGCACTTCTGATGTGGTAATGTACACTCAGTGCAATTTAAGAGAAAAGTTCAGTTCTAGGATAGTAACAATTTCTGTAGCTGAAGCTGATGTTTCAACTGTCAAGAGCCCAGCTACGTTATTTAAGATCTTTTCTGGGGCATACAAAAGAAGCCAACCATCCTGACTGCAAGAACCTTGGAAAGAAAACAAAGGGATCTAGCAGAGTCACGTAGGAGGGCATGTATCTAGGCAAAGAAAAGACAGGGATTTGGCTCTGTGCTTTATCAGTTGTACAAGGTACCAGCTATACTCCTTAAAAGCTGCGTGCGCCCACAGAGCACTCCCTCCAGTGTTTTCATATTCTTTGATTGCCCTACTGTTACTACCCTTACTAATTTATAATGATCATTAAATGTCCACTGCAACATATCTAACATCCGGTACAATTAATCAAGCGAACAAAGTGCCCAGCAGAACAAAGCACATTTTTGTTTGAAACCCAATTCAGACTTTTACTGATTTCAGCCTTTTCTGTTACTATGCTGTCTATACTTCTTCCTTCCCCTTAATCTAAAAAATGACTGAGCCTGTTGGCTAACTTCAACTAACGTTGTAAAAAAATAAAGTCTTAAAGCCTATTTCCAAGCAAACAGCTTGAAAACAGTGTATCTTGCATTGACCGAGAGACCAGCTATAAGAAATATCTAAAGAAAATAAAACTTCCTTAGTTCAGCTACACACAGCACTACTCATTTTGGATCCTTTTCAGAGTGTTATTTAGTACTGCTCTAGCATCACCACAATGACTTCTACACAATGATGTAGTAGAACCCTGTTAAGCTGCATCAGAAACAGGAAGTTCAATACATGTTTATGAAAGCTTTATGCATAAGATGCTGGCATATCTGTAAGAGTTGATGCCCACTCACCATCCCTTTTGAATTGGTGCACATTACTTACACATCCTTATACAAATTCTATGCTAAACACCACCCAAATTATTTCTGAAGTGTTTAATCTGTTATTGAATAGTTTTATTAGGTTGCTGAAAGTGAAGCTCAAAAGATGACTGTATAGCCTCACTTCACATGTACAAATCTCTTTCTCCTGGCTCATTTGAAAGCAGCCCTGATCATGGGAGTCCAAGCTCTTCAAAACTTTGCCCAGTTGCAAAGGTGCACTTGAACAAGTGCGTGCTCACTATTACAATGTTTCATCTTGAACGTCTAACTCAGAGAAACTCATAAATCCAAGTTTGATGCCGCCTGCACTGCTTAACACTGTGCAGCACAGCAAACACCAACAGGCACACAAAACATTAGCCTGGGTCCAAAGCAATATAAGGCAGCACCACATCGAGGCAGAAATAGTTAATGGCAACCTCCAGGTTATGAAAGCTGCAGTTTCACTGTGATGGAATTACGGTGCTCCTGGCAACTACCTTGCATAGAGTTAAATGCGGGTTGTCCCAACTGTTTTCCACTGCAATGCTATGAAAGTCATGCACTGCTTTTCAATTCAAATTTTGTTGTTTTGAATGAGTCTTAAAACATTTTTGCAATTGCAATTTTCATATGGCTGAGATCTTAGTTTGAAAAGATGATCGTGCTCATACATTTCTATACATAAATCAAGTTTGTAACTTAAGAATACCTCAAGTGATGAACTGGCTCATTCAAAGTTGAACAGTAACCTGATAAATTATACTGCAAAAGATCAGCTCAGAGATCATAAGCCTGAGTCCACAACCCCACTGCAGGCAGACACACTGCTTTTAAGATTACACACTCAGCTCTATTTTAAGGTGGGGTTTTTCATTACCTCCTCTTTAGTTACTGCCAATCTCTTGAGATTAGCCCACATATGACAAGAGTTTTTTCATGTTTAGGAAAAACAGTACCAAAATTATATTACTGCAGATTATTTTTATGATTTCCATGGTAGGAATTAATATCTGAACTCAAGTGAACAAATCACAGAAGTGCCACCTACCTGCTTAATGCTTATGATTTCTGTAAAATTATTAAAAGCACATGCCAAAACATATCAATACATTTGATGAAATAAATCTATTTCAAATGTACAAACTAAATGTCCTCATGCTCAAGTCAACTTTCAAGTTCAAGTCTAACACGCATTATTGCAGCTTTTAGTATATCAACCATGGCTACTTTCTTTTAAAAAGAGAGTCAGGGCAAAAGACAGTGTGGCTCCTTCATGCATAAGTCTACTAGCTCAAGCAGTTATTTTGAAAAAAGAGATCAAGGTCCTTAGCCTGAGGGACGGGAGGTTAATGCCTACAGCACTCTTATTCCAGGAGGGAGACTCTTCTTCCGGGCAGTAGGTAAGGGAGGGACAATAAGAATACTTTGTCCCTGGCATCAAGGTGCTCTCCCATCTCCATTTTATACAGTGGCAAAGGAAGGGGACTAAAAAGGAAACAATACATACAAGAAGCACATGTAAATTCAATGGGAACAGGTTTCTTCCAGAAGGCCTGGTTTCTCACCCCACCCTTAAGTATTGAGGCCGACTACCTATATAAAACATGAAACATTCCCTAGAGAAGAGACCAGAAGACTAGAACTCCTCTCCAGGGAGTCATCACCAACCCTCATTCTTTTGCCCATGCTCCAGTTTTATTATTTACCTTGTCGGTCACATAGTGCCATAGCTTAAACAAAAGCTCAGTGCACTCTTACCGCTTCCCAAACAGATGTTTAGTGAGAGAGTCAATAACTAAACTATGAAAATGCAAGATAGTTTGAAACTGTTCATGCTAAAGCAGGCACAATGAACCTGGACTTTCCCCACTCCTCCAGCAAACATTCTACTTACTAGACTACCATATTAAAGATAGGCATCTCCTTCAGTTGCATTTGGGAACAAAATAAAAAAAGTGAGCGTGTTAGCAATATTGAGAGGATGAACTTAGGACAGAAAACGGTTTGGAGATGCAAATCCCAGTCTGAGGCATATAAGTTGAGAGGCATGACTTCAGACACACCATGCTCTTCAGCATTTCCATTCAAACTTCAAAATAAACCTAACTTTAGGTTCAGTCATCTGGCTAATAACTACCACGTATGGCACGCTTGACAACTTCACACTGATATCCTGATCCAACTGAAGGTTTTGTACTAAAATTCAGTCTTTCATTTTAAAGGAGGTGAAGAATACAAAGAAATAAAGCAGATGTGTATAACTGAGCTGATTATATTATCTTAAAAAAGATGATCCATAGAAGTGAGTCAATATATAGTGACTTCAAGAGAGCATTAGGCTCTCCAGACATTTCCCTCGCCTGTTCCTTGATTAGACAGTGCATGTGAAAGCAGGACAAGAGCCAGTTTTCCTTCATATGAATGAAATAACTGCAAATTAGCTGTATCAATAGCCTACTAGAAAACGTTGTTTTTTCTCCAATAAGACTGTTAAATATCCATATCCAGCTTCAGACTCTTAAAAGGCCTCCACTGGGTAGATTATCTGCTCTTTTATTCCCTCATGAACAGAGAAAACTAATGTAAAGCAGTTTTACTTCTGCTTTTTCCTACTTTAAGAATACAGACAGACGTCTTATTAAGTGTTTGCTTCAAATTTTATCACTTCAGTGTTCCACTTCAGAGAAATTCATGTAAGGTGATTTAGAAGATGATTGAAGGGACTTTTTGGTACCACTACAGTTGTTAAACCCAGCTTAGCTTTTCTATTCGAGATTTAATATGGGTAGCTGAAAGACTAGTGTCATGTTGCTTGAATGAATGCTCTAAATATTCTCGCTAGTTTTGCTGTTTTCGCAGTGACTTTCTTGTAAGACCAGATAAAATTTAGCTTTGCGTTAGAGGGAAATACAAACATAAGCCTGAGTACCTCTTCAAATCCTTTGCATCAGATTTCAAGTCGCTACTACTATTAACATACCTTGTACTGCAAGAAGCTGCTCTTCTGTGGTCCAACGGGCATTGATTTTCTGATTAGACTATTAAAATCAGAAAAATGGCACAAAGATCATTAAAATGTTTCAACAGCTCCAAAATATCTGAGCATCAGAATGCGTTTTACTTGCACTACATTTTGAAACACAGGTAAAAATCTCTTGCTTATAAGCCATAAATTTATGGTTTAAGATTGCTTTCATGAACAGGAAGTAGCATTTAAGGATTTGAGCTTAGAACTACACCAATAGTTTTTCCTCTGTTTTATTGCAGTTCTTAGTATCAGCTATATTATAACTTATGCACAAGCTAATGATCTTTATGCAGACAGAATTTGAATTTATAGTTACATTTATCTAAACTATTAGGACTTGGTGTCTGGAGTATTTTGCATTCACATTATGTTTCATATCCAAGCCTTTAAAACAAGCAAACGGAGAACTTCAGTAGTAATAAATCATTCACTTTGGATGCCCAAATGTATATATATAGCCATGTTTTCACACAGAAAATAGAATTTACTGCTAGCAATCTACATTAACTACTTTTAATCAGAAAAACAACCCACATAAATCAGGGCTCAATTTCAGCTCCCTATTGTCATGAACAGACATGACATTTCAGTTTCTCCTGCTTCTTTATTCAGCCAGTTGCCATAAAAAAAGCCTACCACTAATTTCGTGTAAAGAAGCCAGACAGACTCACCCCTGCATGTAATTCAGTGGATCCTGTTTAAGGAGCTGCTGAAATGCAAACACTATGCTGCAGCAAAACACATTTCTGTAGCTTCCCACTAATATAAGTGCAAGGCCACAAGTTCTAATATTTATTCTGATTTACCTCAGGAGGTTTGAATTCTTCAATCCCGCCTTCCATTTTCTGTTTAAGTGCACTGTTTACTTGCTTAGCATTTTGAACCTTGGTCAAAAACAACAAAGTTAATCAGCTCCACAAAGAAAGTTGGTCACTTTACACATATATCTTCACTAGGATTGCCACAAGTGTACCTCCTAAGTTAGAAAGAGAAATATTATGGTTTAAGGCTTCACTATTTTTAACTGTTTTTAAGAAAAAAAAAAAAAAAAACCAAAAACCAAAAAACACAGCACAGTTTACTATGGAGAGAAAAATATTTAAGCCAGTCTTTCAAAGAACAGTTTGTCTGCAGGAATATTAAAACTAGGATATAACAAGCAAGTTTTGATAATGATGCATATGTTCTTGAAGAAGGATGCAGAATATTCTAGACACAAAACTTCATTCTTAGAAATCTAAGTGAGATATACTGTATACATTAACTTCTTCCTTCTCCAAAAAGCATTTTGGGGAGGGGGGGAAAAAAAAAAAAATTATGAGATGTTTCCAGTTAGTTCCTTCTGACAGACTGCTTTTTATTGACCTTAGATCATCATGATTTCCTTTAAGAGTGATTCTTGAAATTATTTAAAATATTTAAATAAAATATTTTAGTCTATAAAAAGGAGAGAGCTTCCAAATTGTACATATACATATCTAGTAACCATTTAAACCTGACAGTGATGCACATAAGGTAACATATGTAAGAAAATAGTTTTGCATACTATGGTGCACAGCTATTACAAGTGTTCTTTAAGTATGGACACAAAAGCAGACAACTCATGGGAGATTCCAAAGGCTGCATCTCTGAGATCACTGCAAGAAAAAAAGAGAAATACAACCTCAAGGCTGTAACTCACCTACACTTAGGCTAAAGAGTGAAACCCACCTATGCTATTTAGCCCCAGAGTCCTGCTGTGACAGAAAGAAGCATATTTCTCCTGTAAAAGAATACAAGGGAGCAAAAACCCCATGAAACCCTTTATTCACTCCATGATTTTGCAACATGGCAGCTCTTAGCCGTCTATAAGGAGGCAGAAATTCCAGGAGATAAGCCTTGACTTTGTAGCCCCATCGCTCCTAGAAAGCAAGCATGCACATACTGCTGTACACTTAGAAGATGAACAGATTCTGTGTTTCAACTTTGAGTGCCAAAAGTTAACTTCTTCATGCAAAGGATGCAGGCAATTTTCCTCTTGAATGTGAAGACTACAAAGTTTTTCTAAATTTAATAAGAAGTAGAAAGCTCATAAATTCAAACAGAGAAATAACGAGGTCCATGATTTCCCTCCCCCCATACTTTCATGGTATGTGGGGAAGGACATCCAGAAAAACAGCTACAATTTTAAGCATAACAAATCTAACTTCCACTGCTTCATTGACCTTATTCTCACTTGTCACACAAATACTTTTAACAAAGTTAAAAAAAAAAAAAAACCAAACCCAAATCAAACCAAACCTGACTTTGTCTTTCTCCTGTCCCCAGGTCTGTAACATTATTTTCATGCCATACTCCACCCCCCGCCCTTTTTTTTTTTTTTTTTTTTTTTAAAGGAAGTCATCTTGTTTCATGTTATCCACAAGAGCAGATGAACATAAAAAAAGCCCCAAAACTCAAAGAATAGCTAGTCAGCTAGTGTCCAGCATTTCTGGTGATAACTGTGGAACAAAATTAGGAAGACTCACATTAAAGAAGTTTCAGAATCTTCATAGATAATCTTCAAAACCATTACAATCAGAACAATCTGAGATGAAAACAAAACAAGACCAATAACCCATGGTACCTGTCGCTTTAATGAGATTAGTTCCATATCCAGCTGTCTAAGAATTGTGTTGGCTGCATTGGGACTACAGGAAACAGCTATCACATCTTCCTGGGTCAGGTACATGCCTTTTGGTGGACGGCATTTGGAACGCTGAGAATGGTGGCGATGCTGCAAGCTCTGATACTCTCTTCTACCCAGACCTATTTTGCTGGTCTGAACAGGCTGCTCATTATTGCCCTTTAATTTACAAGAAATAAATCATTAAAGAATAACAGTATCTTATACACAATTTTATTAAAGAATAAAGTATCACACAGCATTGTAGTGTCATATTTACGACCAAGAAAACTTAAGCTAACATCCTCCTCTGCATGTAGTATCCAAACTAAGTCTCGCAGATGAACTTATGGAGCATACCAGTCATTTGCTGGATAAGCCTGCATTAGTCTTAGAAAGGCCACTTTTCAAAACCCTTTTTTTAACATGGCTGAAAATACAATAAATGGCATAGAAATCACAGTCTGAATACTGTGAAAGAGGAGGGGGGAAAAAAAAAAAAATCGAAAACCTCTTATGTAAGCAGAAGGTAAAGAATATATATATGTATTACATGTTTAAACCAAGTAATCAGTGAATTTCCACATTTATTTCTGGTCAGATATGAAGAGTTCAAGTGAACACCAGAGGAAAAGAATGCGTGAAAGCCAACCAGGATGAGCAAGAATGAAAGATGACACTTTGTCCTGCTGCAAGCACTCTAACTTGGAAAGCGACAGTGCTGTTTGCTTTGGGAGGGGATTTGAGATTTGGAAGAGAGAGGATGGATTTACTTTTGCAGTCATTATAAAAATCTATGTAATTTAGCAAACTTAAGCCTTTGTTGTCTGCTTTTTTGAAGTGGAAAGTGATAGCAAAGAAAAGATGCAATCTTTTTGATATGTTTGGACACCTAAAAATTTCAGCTTTGTCTTCAGTGAGCATTGCTACACCACAGCTAGTCTGCATGTACGTGACTCCCATAGAGCAACCAGATAGGTTCCCTACAGAACAGGAGCAGAGAAGCAAAAACGACTCCCTGTAAGGATTCTCCAATTCAAAGCAATGCTAAGAACCAGAACAGAGATGGGATTCGGGCTTTTTGCTACTTCAAGCAGCTCCCTACTGCTCCTCCCTGCTGGCATCTATGCCAGAGGAGGTGGTCATCTGATCACAGTGAAGAGAAAACAAATTGCAGCAGCCATTATTATTATGTTCTGCAGCGTTAGTACAGATCAGCAAACAGTATTTTGCTCTACTATGCTTGACCTTCTGCCACATCCTCTTCCCAGCTAATATAACATCTTAATCCAGTCCACAGACTGCATAGATGCAATCTTAAAAACACTTAAGATATTTGCTCTTCCTTGGAAAGTTGACATTTAAAAATTCCAAGGTTAAGTTTACTTCTGGCCCATTTACACTGTTTGTTTTTTGGTTCTGCATTGCTCTTTCAGTACGAGCAGACAGGAACTGCAATTTCAACCTGGATTTAAAGTGAAAATATTCTCTCAAGCTTTTGTCTTGCCAAGCTAGTGTGCTTGTTTTAGTTTTCTCTGGTAACAGAAAGTTTCCGTTGCTCTGTGCATTCAAGTAGCCTACTCAGTTTATGTTTTGCTTAGGAAGTGAAAGCATGCAAATCCTACCAGAAATATTAGATCACAAAATTATCTTATGTAGATCCAAATAGCTCATCAGAAACTGCAAACCTATTTGTCCTGTTCCTAGAAGTCTATGAACACACTACTTGCATTCTGGACTGTGTGTAGTAGTTCAAACAGTAACTAAGAAAGTAAATTGAACAAAATAGCCTTTATTTAGAAGTGCCTTAGGCAGCAACTCGAATCAACAGATTGCAAGAACATTGTTACAACAGCAGAATAAAGAGTAAAAGTGTTCATTATTAGACCCTGTGCCATTTCAAGTTCTAAAAAACATACCCTGGCATGTTAAAAAAAACCCTCAAACCCTTTTACAGAAAGGGGTGATTGTAACTGTCTTTTTTTTTTCCCCCTGAGGCAGTTAAAAGTGTTACATTGAAGGTCACTGCAAAGCTGACAATGGAATCTAAACCCATCGGTCTCTTACTCAGTGTCATTTCTGGTAGAACTGCAAAGTTAGTTTAATAATTCTAGATACCACTTCATGGGAATGTTGAAGTTTTGCACTACCTCTCCTCTCCTATTCTCAAGAAGCATGAACTCTACCATTTTAGGAAAATCACAAATGCATTAAGTCAGTCAAGGAAACAATCAAACGTTTACATACTTAACTGTGTTTTTCTAGTCCTGTTCATAAGTAACTTAATGTTTACCAAAAGAATCCCCAAAAAACCCAAAACCTGAACATACCCCAAACACAGCACTCATCCGTAAAGCTAACAGTAAGTGCTCATTAGAGGAGACAAAAATATTTCTCTCTACATTTATTAGTAGAAAGAGTCTCAATAAAGCCACATATTCATTGAAATGCATAACCTCACTGTGGCTTTGAAAGACAAAAACAGTTGTTCTTGGAAAAATGTAATTTAATTTTAAAATGCAAAGGAAACATTTAGTTTCCAATAACTCACAATCAATAAAACTGTAAACTTATTAACAAGACAGAGGTAGGGGGAATGTTGTTTTACCTGGTAGCGATAGCATACATCTCTTATAAAACTTGAAGATCTCTCAGGAGATAGTGAAGGTAATGAGAGATGCATTTATGTCCACAGAACGGCAAAATATACAATAAAATTTTGTTTCAATCAGAAGTTGTCAAGACCTTGATCACCTAAGCCCCCTGTGAATCCAGCAGGCTGCAAGCTAAACCTCTTTACTACAAGTCATATTCTTCACAGTAACATGTTCACAGAAAACAAACAAACTGACATTCACCGTTAAGCTATCTGTTACCTCCTTTTTGGCTTCTTTTTTGGGATCATAATCACTATCGTTTCCATCCATTGGATGAGCTTCTTCTACGTCGTCATCACTGAGGACAGATCATAAGCAGCTGGTCATTTTATCTATTTTTTTAACCCCAAATATAAACATGTATCGGGTAAGACAGGATTATCTACTCTAAGTATATCACATCTCAAAGTTATTTGTAGTTTTCAAAAGATAGCTGTTACAAACATATTCCCTTTATTAAATTCTAATAATTATTATGATAAACAAGCAATCCTAAACTGTAGTTTCAAAATGACTTTGAGCAGTGCTGGTACTGCTGCCAAAAAACTTGCTGTCACCTTTCTCCAATTCAACCACATGAACAATTAACATGGTCAACTATACCAAGGCTAGAAATAACCTTTCATTTGCCATATTAATTTTAACAGATCAATTCTCAAACCACTGCACAAGGTGTATAAATAAACCCTTGCTGAAGTCTGTTGGGGAGCAAAAGGGGACAGTATCAGATGAGACAGGACTGCTTTTTCACTGAAGTGCTCAAGATCTAGCAGTTTGGGGTGGGGTGGGGAATGAAATCTGCTGAATTAAATCAATTAAATCAAAGAGAAAAGGTTGAAAAGATAACAGTTAGTTCAGCTGAGTCCAATCTAGTCATTCACACAATATAATTTCTGCATAAATAATTGTAAAAAAAACCAACAAAAATGTCTAGTTCTTACAAAAAAACCCAAAATACTGTATTAGAAGCAAATTTATTTTCTTCTGTAATTTTTCAGCTATATGGTCACTAAGTAAGCATATGAATTTTAAATTTTAGTTCTTTTCAATAACATATAATTAAATAAACCCTTTTGCTCTAGCTAGGCAGTTTTCTGTAGATGCAAAATCATACTTTCCAATATAAACATAATTATGTTACTTATACTTTCAACATATTAAATCACTTTTAAAAAAGTGCAATTTAATACTCAAATATACTAAGTGCAACATAATTTTAATTTCAAAATAACTAGGGGAAACACCATTCCCTTCTATCCAAGACAATTTAAAACTATTTTGAGCTCAAATTCTCTTTGACTGATAGTTCTAAGTCTCCTAAAATAAGATTTATATTTATATAAAGTTTTATAACAAAACAGTACTTGGGCATTCTAATTGCTACAGCTCTTTACAGTGGTTGATATTTCAGTTTTAATTCCATTCTAGTTCAAAAAAAACCCCACCCAGAAAACCCCCAAATTCAGAAAAACACTCTCCTTCCCCCACAGTAATACAGGGTTAGACTTCTCAAATAAAGCATTATTTCTAAACCACATCCCCAGACTTCAGGTTTTGTAAACCCGTGTTTTTATAGTTATCCATTAAAGCACTCATCTGTGTTATTACAACTCACACCGACTGGAAGGATATCGTTCTTAAAGCACAGATACCAAACCCCTTGCTAAAAGCAGAGACATCACCACAGATGCTCAAACCTAAAAACACGGTTCACGCTGAAATACAATGGCTGGAAATTACTCTGACATCTCTACCTAGAAAGACTTCAGTCTCTAGTTTGCTACTTAAGAATATAAAACTTACCTGTCACCTTGATTATTCCTATTAGCTAGTTTTCGAGCCTGACGATCCATCAAACTTGTCCTAGAGCGAGTTTTTTTCCAAGAATAGTAGTATTTTACAAGGCTTGCAATAGTCTTGTCTGGAAGCTAGAAGAATTCATTAACATATTAACACTTTTAAAAATTAAAATTCCACCCAAGATTATAATTCTGCTCTATACCCAAATATCTTAAATGCATGGATGAGACAGAAAGGAGGGATGTATTTCGTATACATTTTTTAAAAAAGGGGGAGGGGGAGAAAGGCTTTTTTTATTAGAGTGAAAAAGCTATAGGTCCAAGAGACATGATGAAATTAACAGTTACTGATTAAAATATTACTTTACCATTTGCTGGATCCTGTGAAAGCTCTTTCCATGGAAGCTAAATGCTTGCTCAAATAGGACTTTATCTTCAACTGTCCATTCGTCAGGGAAAGGAGTGAAGTTAGGGAGATCCGCAAGGGACTTCTCAATATTGTGTTTATGCCAGAACAACATGCCGAGAGCCTTTGAAAAGAAATTTAGTCAACTTTCTAAAAGGTTGAGACAAGTTAAATAAAAAAAATGCTATTTATTTATTTAAAGTAAAATCTGACTATCAGAACCCCTTCTCAAAACGTATTTACAATTCTATTGGCTATGTAGGCTACAAAATTCTCTTTGGAGACAATATGAAGAGTGGGCACATCTGTACTTTATTAAAGCTATGAAAGCTAGACAATTTAAGGTTGGCATGGCAGCAGTAATTCTGAAGTAGCATGAACTAGGCTGATAGGCTCAAATCTGACCCGCTTTCATTCTTTACAAGCATGTATCACCTACACAGTTCCTTATAGGTCTTCAGGTTTTTCTTACCAGCCCACTCAAAGAAAATAAAAATACTTTTCAGCAGCCAGAGGATCATCCAAAATGAAAGTCTGAAAGTTCAAAGTGAGAGCGGGTCTTTCTACAACTCTCCAATCCACAAATAACAGCACGGCCACTTCTATGTCATGTGCACCTAATAAGAACTGAAATTTAAATATATTTTCTTACATAATTTCATTTCTTGATATTCTTGAAGAATTTTATGTTGATTAGACTTTCTGCCAGAGAATCAATGATAGATTTGATGCCAAGTCTGGCATGGGAATTGGGAAATGTAATCCACTCAGTTACAACCATACAGCGCAGACATGATCACCATTTGTTCACCAGCTTTCCAAACCCCTGATTTCACATCTTCTAATAACCGGGGCAGAGCAAACCTCTTTTCTTGTTAAAATGGCAAGTGATAAGCACCTCTTGCAAAGATAATTTCTATTCCACTGTGAACAGTCTACAAATATTTTGCACCAGAAGTTGTTTTGAAAATTAGTCTTTTTTGTAGACTTATTTTGAGACCCCTCAGTTCCCTCTCCCTCCCCTAACAAAAGCCAAGCTATAAACAAACATCACCAACTGCAGGTATTCTGGACATCGTAACATGGGCAGCATCTTTTTCAGATAGCAGTTGACTAGCAAGTCTTTGCTGTTATGAGCTTCCATCCTCCAAAACTTGATCATACAACTTGTCTCCACTTGTACAGCAAATCTTTTTTTTTGCAACAGGTAATCTCACTTTTACAGAAATCGGTTAATTTATGAAGAAAATTGCAATAGAAATAAGTGCAGACCAGCAAAGTTTTATCCTGTACTTTTTACAGGATGGTGACTAAAGGTTATTTAAAAAAAAAAAAAGTGAACTTGCTTGTTACTCTCAAACCTAGAATTTGATTCAGTTTTCCTGCCTCTGGAAAAAACACTCAAAGTTGGTTTGCCTCTTTTTTTTTTTTTTTTTTTTTTTTTTACATACGCAAGAAACCTTTCCAGTGCTGTCCCTATGGCAATTAATAGTTCAAAATTGTACCATATTTTAATTCCAATATTAAACACTAAATTTGTAAGCTGCTTTCCCAAGAAATTCTTTAGCTAAATATACACACACAATTGCATGACATGCCCAGTGTATCAAGAAACATACCAAACCTTTTAAAAGTGCACATTACAAGCTGAGCATGTCATGAAAACAAAGAGCTCAATCTTTTGCAGAGAATCCAGACCACAACTGTATGCAGATCCATTTAACTGCAGTGTTTGCTGCCGTGCCTGAAGAGAAACAGCGTTAATTAATGGTGACCAATGGGGAAAAAAAAGAAAAAAAAAAAAAAAAAAAAGAGCTGTGCTATACTTTTATATTAAAAAAAATCCTTTAAACGAGCACTCTCATTTCATAGCACTTACCTGTTCCACATTGTATCCATGTTTTTCCTTTGCTATTGCTATATATTCATCCACTGTAACAAAGCAATGTCAAAATTATTCTTTAGTACTTTTAGTTCTGCTATAAGGTGACACAGAATTAGCCGTTCTAACATGGGAAAACAGTCTTCCCATGCTTTAATACACTGCATAGGCCCAGGTCCCCCAGAATGTTAAAAGTATTCATAGCTTTATTAATAATAAATAAGCCCACTGTCTTCAATCCAACATTTAATTTTATAAACTTTTTATACAAGCTAATTCTCAGTGAAAAAGATGCTTGCTTTCACATTTTTACTACAACAAAGACACAGAGGCTTGTCATTTATTTATTTAAATCAGAGACTAGTTAGTTATTGGAAGGCTATGTCTTCTTGAAACCCCCTCCTAAGAACACAGACACACTGGGAGGGTGTGCAGACACCTGGGTTAGTTTTAAATTGAACTACTTCTAATGTTTTTATTCCCAAACATGTTAAAAATTAATGTAAAGAGATCCTAGATCAATGATTATGCATATCCTTGATTATTAATATAGTTTTCACTGTCCAACATTAATTTTAACCATGGCATGAAGTCAGTTTTCAATAGAGAATATGAAAATTCAATAATTAGGTCATCAAATTCACCAATAACATACTTTTAAAATCATATTTGGCCATACTAGAGCCAGCTTTGAGTTGAACACTTTCCATCATTTTTGCAATTAAGTCCTGCTAGTTTTGATCTTCAACAGGTACTTTTTTTATTTTTAAAGAAACAAACTCTTCCCATTCACCTTCTACAGTTCACAATTAAGTGGCAACTAAATGTAGGTGAAAGGAAGCATGATTGGCAAGAGGAAATAATTACATCCTCATTATTCAAACAGACCAGAGATGTCCTTGCCATGAACTGTTGCAGCAAAGAGTTAATTGTAATTTAAAAGGAATTTAAAAAGTGTTTAATAATCATAGTTATACAGTATTTTATTTCTAACTGTTCTGCAGTAGTAGAAGGTATGTTCCCTTGAATGTAGAGGGACACAAATCTCTAACTACTGGTAATAGGTAGAAACTGTCCTGAGGACCAGGTTCTCATGACTGTATCCTCGAAGTTTACTCCCCTACATATGGGAAATTCTACCATAGGAGGCAGGTTTAAACTAGATTAAACAGATAACTGATCACATTTAGTCAGATGACTCCTGTATTTCAGGTCACTTTTGAAGGAAGAAAATGCTCAGTTTTCCCTGAGCATTTCCCCTTGAACTGGGCCTCAACACCTCTTTTCTGAATTTATCCACCACAACTCCTTCTCCTAGAAATTTGGAGCAGCAAGTTCCTCATGTTTAGATGTTTTATTCCTTTATTAATAACTAAAGGTTTCACAGACACTAATGATGATACAACACAGGCAGTGTTATTTGAAACAAAGACGTAACTATAAAATAAGAGAAGGTGATCTTTCCTTTCTCCAGAGTTCTCTAAATAAAAAAAAAACCACCCAAAAAACCAACCAGAAGCTTGGTGTTTAATCTACTAATTTGCATTTTCACTGTGTGTAAAATAAAGAGCAAACGGGCACACCAGAAACAATTATTTAGTTGTACTTAAGCATCCAAATTCCTAAGCAGGGAAGGACTTACACTTGGCATCTGGAATATTATGATATGGAGACCATACAAGCATCCCTCCATTATCTTTATCAGTATATTTTGTGGCACCTGTAAGAAAACAAGTAAGTCTCAGTATTTATAAATACAATCTAGAGAACAACTATTCATGGGACAGTAAGTAAAAGTCAATGATATTAAGAAGTCCAGTCCAACTACTAAGGGGGAAAAAAAAAAAAAAAAAAAAAATCATTAATTCCACATTATTTCCTTAAGACATCAAATGGCTGAATTTGAACACTACTCTTACGAGGTTCAGTCATAACTGGATATTAGACAGGATCCTGGTTACCAGAATGGGAACATTAAAGCGCATTGCTAAAGTTGGCATGGATGCAAAATTTAGATGTACTTGTGTTGGAACAGTCTTCCAGAAGTTTTGATTGTCTATTAGTACTCTAACATTTATCACTATCATAGGAATATCAGGATCTACTGTGTTAAGTTAGTCTTCCTTAAAACAAAAAAAAATATGACATGGGGGTAGAATACAGTCACCATCCCTGATCCTTTCAACAAGGAACTATGCTAATAACTATGCCAGAAACAATCCTGTTAATCTCTCTCTCTCTCCCTCTAGTTTTTATTATCATAGCCGTGTAATTTTGATATTCATAGCCAACCAAATTGTGTAGCTGTAGAAAGTAGTTAGGTGTAAAAGTCATCTTTTTTTTGTTTGGTTGTTTTGGGGGTGGGGTGGGGTGTTTGTTTATGCTTCACCTCCACCTCAAAGTAGCAAGGGAGGCAGTCCAAGTTACCTAACCTATCAGGAGAATAGAGCAATTTTTGCAATACTGATGCAACTTTGTACAACGCACTAAATGATAGAGGCTTTGATTTTTAAAAACATGTTGTAAAAGAAAAGGAAATTCCCCAATACTGGAAAAACATTAACTAATAGGTACTTTTCATTAATATTTTACAAATGTATGCTACTAGCTAAAGCCTCTTACAATCTATTTGTTTACCACAGTTTATCTTGCTAAGACATTGCTCAACAATTGGAGCATTTACACTTGTGTCAGTATGAATTCCTTGAGGAATCACCCTCAGAGGAACTTTCTTTGCATCCTTCTTGGAGAAGGAGATATTTTTTTATTCAGTGAAACAAATAACTTTTCACTCCATTTTAAGCTTCCACACTTTATATTTAGGTTCTATGTCTTGTTGAAGAAAACAAAACAAAACAAATCAATGCTTTGGAAAAGAGAACAACTTAATGCTTTCTAATTACATACTAAGTTTTGTTGCTCTTCCCTCTTTAGTTTGGCAATGTTTTGTATTTGCTATCGTCTTTGCAATCTTTAGATCCATTATGACTGTGAACTTGAAAACCAGCTAATTAGAAAAACTAAAAGAACTCATGTGTCTTCCAAAATGAGATGTGTAAGACAGATAACCTAAATGCACCATAAACTCTGTAACAAGTTAAAAGTATACATACATTCATAAAGCACCAGTTTCAAGGCATAAGCAGTACTAAGCTCTGAAAGGATTTTGGTACATAAGAACAAATTCCTTAATATAACATTCTACTTTAGAACAAAAAGCATGCCATTTTTAGTCATTAGGAATGCAATATTTATTGAAGAGTAATGCAACCATGTTACAGGCACAACATTTCTCCAGTCCACTCAGTTTCTATCACAAGTAAGTGACCGCTACCCTGTACTCCACTCTAACTAAAAGATGAAAACAGGACCACCAGAGAATGCATCAGAATTTCAGGCTGTGAGCAAGAAATGTCTAAACTTATCATGAGTACACCCTCAGTTTTTCCTTAAAAAACCAACCAAACAAAACCAACAAACAAAAAAAACCCTAACCCAGACACCTGCAGACAAGTGGGTATCATGGATACTATCAGCTATTGAATAGGCAAGTACTAAAGTGAAAAAACTAAAGTTTCAGAGTCCTGTCATCTGCACCTGCAGGAGATCACGTATGCAGTGACACTCCCCTGCTGAGGTGTAACCTTCACGTGACTAACAAGCAGCTCCCACCAGAACACCCCTTTACG